TTAACCTCGGGGAGAATGGCCTGGCGTTCATGGTATGTCCCTAGCCCAGTCGCGTTTGCAGATTTCAAAACTGCGCACGTGTCATAGGGCTTATTCGTTGGTGCAATTGTTACCTACGCCTTTTTTGCGCCATACGCTACGCCCTGAAACCGATGTTCAAGGATGGAGAAGAGAGTATGACCTAGTCCCATATCGTATTGTTGTTTGGAGCTGAGTTGATAATAACAACAGATTTCATCCCCGAGAACCGTCTTCCAGTCGCGATGGTGGGCGCAACTTTTCTACCGATCTCCCTGTTCTGGTTCGGTTGGACGAGCTTCTCGAGCATCAACTTTATCGTGCCTATCATCGGCTCTGCATTCTTTTCAGTGGGGACGTTCCTCCTTTTCCAAGCTGGTCTGAAGTGGGTAGTTCCAATTTTATCAAACTGACTCCCTTCTCACCGGCTCGCTTCGGTTGCAGCTACTTGTCTGACTGCTACCCACGCTACGTGGCCTCAATCCTTGCCGGTAATGACTTTTTTCGATCGTGCGTCGGTGCGGCGTTCCCTCTGTTCAGCACGGGTGTGTGGCCTCGTATATGATGGTGAGTTCGTGCTAACGGTCACTCAGCGTTCTTCCACGACCTGGGCGTCGGCCAAGCATGTTCAGTCCTGGGCGGTATCACAGTTGCGATGATTCCTATCCCGTTCATCTCGTATGTTCCATCGCTTGTATGAGTTGGTATAACCTTTGACCGCTCAGTGTTATATTTCTAGGTACAGCTATGGAGCAAGAATCCGCGCTTGGAGCAAGTATGCAGACTAGTACCGACCTTTCGCACTCGTTGCATACGGGTTTACTAGGTATATGCTTTGCTCGTACCTCATGTATATTCCTGCGTGAAATTGTTGAATATTGGATGAACATCAACTTTATCGCTACCTTTTCTCCAATACTGCCCTTGACCACGGGCAATAATTCACCGGGTGTAGCTCGGATGTACCGTATCCCGCCCTTTCTCTATTTGGGGAAAGGCGCATCAGGACTGCACTGAGCTGCCGCAAGCGCCGCAGTACGTCAATTGCTTGCTTGAGCACACTCATTACCCTCCCCACAAGAGCTGTCTCTACAACTATCTGTTAATTCAGCCGTAGGACTTCTGCAGTTATGCTAGGTGATGAGGACGACGTCTTTGATAGCGTGACCTGGGAGTCTCCCGGCACGCAGGGATACGACGCTGGTGGTCCGTCATCGGCGCCGTCTGGCCCTGGATTCAGGCAAAGCACGTCTGAGAGCGATTCGGGACCCAACGATCCGAAGTGGGAAGGCTACCTTATCACCACGGTCAAGGATCCTGTCAAAGAGCTCGCAGAGACCAAGGATGCGTATGTCTCCTACCTGGTGACGGCGACCGTGCGTATGCAAGGCTCGGCCAGTGCGGAACGTGCTGAAGACGTCTTTTCAGACCAACCTTCCCATATTTTCGGCACCTAACCCGTCGACACGAAGGAGATTTACCGATTTCGTGTTCCTGAGAGAACACCTTGCGAAGGATTTCTCGGCATGTGTGGTCCCGCCTCTGCCAGGCAAGCACCGAATGGGTACGTCCACCATGTTTCAGATACCTGCAGATATTTATCACCGCGTTGTAGAGTATGTCACTGGCGATCGCTTTAGTCCCGAGTTTATGGAGCGGCGTCGCCTGGAGTACGTGGCCCTGTGTTCGTTCCTCTTGCGTCGCTGACATGACGAATTATAGCTTGCACCGTTTCCTTCAACGACTGGCCAGACACCCAACGTTGCAAAGAAGCACACTGCTTCGTGCGTTCTTTGAGTCCACCGAATGGGCAAGTCGTGCGACTACTTTCATTTTACAATCCCCTTGACTTGCCGTATAGCATGTGCACATGCACCAGCATGTTGCCCACCCTCCAGGGCCGGAGCACTCTTCTGGCGTTATGGACAGCCTCTCGGACACGCTCCTGAACGCCTTCTCACGTGTGCGCAAGCCAGACGAACGGTTCCTTACCATGCGCGAGAGCGTAGACAAGTTCGAGGATGGCATCGCACTCAGCGAACGATTCTGGAGCCGCGTGCGGAACCGGACGAGCGGTGAGTGGTTAAGTTTATATATATGATATTGAAGTCTTAGACTGAAGAGATGGCGGTGCCGTGCTCGGTGAAGATCTTACTGGGGACTACCACGACCTCGCCATTGCGGTCCAGGGCCTGGGTTTCCTAGAGTCGGGCATCACCGACCCCCTCAACCACTTTTCTAATACCCTCCTCGAGTTCTCTGCCTTGCTGCGCCACTTGGTAGGCTGTGCGATGTTTTGCGCTGCGGAGGCTGAGCTAATGCACCTGTGCAGACGCAGACGACCACCGATCCTTTCCTGGTCCACTTGCACTCCTTGCTCCAGTATTCGCATGCCAACCGGGCGGTGTTGAAGCTCAGAGATCAGAAGCAAATGGACTTTGAGGACCTCTCCGAGTATCTGTCGAACCTCACGCAGGAACGCGACAGGCTCGCCGCCGTCATCAGCGGGCGCGCGGGCAGCACGGGTCTTGGCCTTGGGTCGTACTTGAAGGACAAGGTCGATGCCTTGCGCGGTGCAGATGACGACCGGTCTCGGGTTGAGAAGATGCGGAAGTTGGATGGCAAGATCAAGGAGCTACAAGACGCTGTCTCTGTGGCGCACGATACGTCCGATGCCTTCAGTGAGGAGACACTTCGTGAGCAAAAGGTGTTCCAATACACGAAGGAAGCGGAGATGAAGGAGATGTTCGGAAATCTTGCCGATGGACAGATTGAGTTTTACAAGGCTGTAAGTTAGCGTTTGCTACTCCGTGCTGAGTGATCTTACTGACCACCCATCTTAGGCCATGGAGGAATGGGACAGGATAATACCTATGATCCAGCGCATAAGAGTGGATGTA